GGTGAGAAGGGGGGAGGGCAAGTGGGATTCTGGCAGATGTTAATGTTTGCTGGAACGGGCGGGGGAAGGGCATTCATTCAGCGTTGACTTGGCAAGAAGGGGCCACCATCAGCTGCAGCCAGCCCGGGACGACCCCCACACAGCCGAAGCGACGGCCGCCCGGTGATGTCCACCCACAGCTGACGCCCACGCCGATGGTGCAGCAGAGGGCCCCAACCCCTGGTGGCAACTGGGTAGCGGGCGGCGAGTTCCTTGCACCTACCCACCTGCAGCTGCGAGAGAATCACCTCCCCTGCGGCAGAGGCCCGCCCTGCGCCGCCCTCAGACGCGAGCTCAGATGACAGGGTCCTGCTGCGCACCCACCCGCCGCCGCCCGCCGCCGCCGGCGCGGCCCCCACGGGCCCGCCGCGCGCCTCAGGCCGCGCCGCGGCGCCGACCGCCGGCTCGCCGTGCTGCGCGGGCGTCAGGGGCGCGCCCGAGGACGGGGATGACGCGCCAGGAGGGGAGTCGCTGGCAGCTGCAGGGGCGGGCAGAGGGGTGACGGCGGGGCCCCCACCCCTGCTGGTCCTGGCGAGGCTCAGCAACTGGTTCCAGCGTCCGCCCTTCTCCCTGCTCTTGACCGTCTTGCTGCTGTTCGTTTGACCAGGGCGAGTGTACGGAAGGTCGGGGGAAAGATTGCAGGATGCGCGGTTACGTCATTAGGGTAGAATGCTGGCGTTGCTGAGTCCCGTCGTTCAGAACCGGCTTTGCCACCCGACAGCACCCCTCGGATCGACCGATCCGTCGCACCTGCCGCCAAGAGGCGCCGCAGCCTCCTCCGCAGGCCGCCCCGCGGCTGCCACCTGCACCTGGCCCGGCGCCGACGGCGGCGCGGGCGCCGCGACCGGCGCCTCTGGGGCCGCTGCATATCGCGCCGCCGCCCCGCTGCTGCTGCCTTCGCCGCTGTCGTCGTCGTGCAGATGCAAGGCGCCGAACACCACCGTGGGGCACTCCACCGCCCCCTCCCAATCCGACTCGTCCAGCTCTTGGCTGCCCGCCCTGCTGTCGCCGCCGCCGCCGCGCGCCGCGGCCGCGCCGAAGTACCCAGCAGCGCCGTGGCTGGCGCTGCTGTTGCGCCGCGGCGTGCCGTCCTCCTCCCCGATGGCCTCCATGCCGCCGGGGCCGCCACCGCCGCCGAAACCCCCGAGGTCCTGCTCGCGCCCCGCGGCGACGGCCGCCGCCGCCGCGGCGCGCGTGGCGGCGCCGCGGGCGGGGCGCGAGAAGAACTCCCTGCAGAGGGGCGTGCGGGCCGCTTTGTTGCTCGGACGACGCCACTGGGTGCGACCAACCCGCAGAGACGCGCCGCGTCAAGCTGCGTGGCGGGCGGCGGCGCTTCCGGTGGCGCATCAACCCACTGGCGTCAGTGCAGGCAAAGGCAGCCCGTCGAGATGCCAGGGAACCAAAGGAAAAGAGGCAGCTGACAGCAGTTTTGATTGTGAATCGACCTCCTGAACTTCCCGTGTGCATCAATAAAGGCCTCTTTGTCAACAAAGGCCCTCTCACTTGATGCTTCCGCCCAGGCTTGAGCCCGACTGGTCAGTCGACATGGAGGCGGCCTCGTCCTCTGTAAAGTCCGCGCCCGCCTTCTTCCAGCGGCAGCTGCGGGGGCGCGAGGGCGCGTCCACCCGGCGAGGGCGGGCGTCTGAGCCTCAGGTGAAAGGCCGGACCAGGGCGCTGCCCCGGGACACACAGCTGCGGGCCCGCGTGCGCGCGGCCGCAACGGACGAGCGGCAGCGCCCCCAACCGCGGGCAGCTGTGCAGCCCTAACGCAGCCGCCCGTTCCCGCTGGCCGCGACCGCTCCTGGCCATCTCCCCTGCTCACGAGATCCCAGCCCACCGCTCGCGCCCCTATGCAACCCTCCGCCCCCAGGGCTGCCCCCGCACCGCAGCGTGACTGTGAGCTGCGGCGCCCCGACTGCCAGCTGGATTGCCTTGTTGCACGCAACCGGAAACGTGCGCAGCTCCTGACCGTCGATCGCCGCAAATTCCGACAGGTCGATCACCACGCGCCCCAGCGCGGCGGTCGCGTGGGTGCGGCCGTCGGTCTCCAGGATTGCGAGGATCACGCACTTGCGCTTGAACGGCCCCAGCTGGCCGGCGCGCTCGGCGGCGCCGGGGACCTGCAGGGGCGACGGGGGTGCGGGCGCGGGTGCGGGCGGGGGCGCTGAGGTTGCGGTCGCTGCGCCGGGCGCGCGGCCGACTGCAACAGGGGCGTCGCCTGGGGGCTGCCGACGGCCGCGCGGCGCCGCGTGGCGTTCACCTCAGCATGCGCGGCCGCTTGTCAGCACGTGCGTCATGGCATCGCATGCAAATTGGATGCCCACATAGCCAGCTAACCAGCTGCTGGGTATCTCTTGCAGGCCCACGCATGCATGCCCGCGGCCGCACCTTGTACAGCGTCGATTTGAAGCCGATCCTCTCGTTGAACCGCACCACCGTGGCGCCACCAAGCTCTGGACCGGGTGCGGGCGTCACGGTCGCCGTCGCGCCGCGTCGCCGCTTCCCGCGCTGCCATCCTACTGCTATGCCCTTGCTGGTTGCTGGCCACGGCTGCAGCGAGTGAACGTGCAGCTGGAACTCGAACCGCGTGGCGTTGAAGTGGTTCTTCAGCTGCCGCAGCATCGCTGCCGCCGCCTGCCGCCGGCCGCCGGTGGGCCTTGAGCAAATGGAGCCGGGTAGAATTGGTGAGCAAGCCTGGGCGTAGCAATGTGACCAGCCCCTGCTGGGCTGGCTGTGCAAAGTGCTGGTGCGCCATTCTCGCCCAGCCAAGCGCGGGCTGGATGGTGGCAAGCCTTCGCGCGCACCTGGCGGCTTGACGGGTATGAAGGTATTATACTCGCTTCAAAATTTCTTACGCTGGTCGTTCAGTGCTTTGTCCGCCGCACCGATGTGCACCGCGCGAAAAGCCTGGTCTACCGCCCTGATCCCACCGAGATGAGCGACCCAAACTCAAGATATCGAGATTCCTTACAAAAATCATAGCTTATACATCGTGGGTCCAAGTGCGTTTACGGGCATGAGCACAGCCACTGGCTGCGTGGCAGCTCGCCACGCGGCGAGTACCTACTAACGTACTGCTAGCCTGACCCAGGGCGCCACAAGAGAATATACATGACAGTTATGATATGCAATGACTCCTTGGCTGGGACCAGTTGCATCGGCAGCACCCTCAACGCCTCCTAAATGCGCCGCCCTCCCAGGGCGGAATGTAAGCCGAGGAAGGCCCTCGGATGATCAGAGGCGGCGTCCAAATGTTACATTTATGCATCTTCAACGCGGGCGTGATTGCAGGAGTGACTGCGAGCAAACTGACACGTGGGAACGTTCGAGTTGGTGGTGATCGCCCACCAACTGCACCAACCAACCAACGGCATGGTGCAGGGCTGCATCTCAACACTCTCAGGCAGATCTGGCCCAGGGAAGATTTAGCACATTGGCGGCAGAATTTCACGCCCGCACCGCCGCGCTTGCCGCTATTGGTCTGTGCCGCACGCGTGCACATATCTGGAAACAGCAAACAACGAAGATGGACGTGGGAAAAACTTGCGCCTTCGGCGCGCTGGGCAGAGGAGAGCGCGGTTCTTGCTTGCTGTTGATGAGGTCAATAGTTGGTGGCCGACCGACGCCGCCACCTCGCAGTGCGATCAAGCACAGCATGGGGTGAGCACGTCCAGAAAAGAAGCGGGCGAGGCTGTCCAAGCGCCCCAGGATAGGCAGGGAAGCTGAAATGCATTGTCTGTCCCATCAGGCTATAAAGCCAACAGGGTGCGTGACTAACATGCCAAAAGCAAGGCGGGCAGGCCAAACAGTAGGGTCCGGCGCGCAGCTGGTGGTTGCACAACGAGGCACTAGTGCAGTACGCTTGCTGAAGGCAGATGATCTGGGTGCTATAGCATGGCACAGTTCAAGAGTCGTCGCAGGGCGTTCCGGCTGTGTCGAGCTATTCTGGTGTGGATGGGTGGCGCACTTATCCAAGGAGGGCGGAGAGCTCCCGCCGGCAGCTAATACATCAGCATCATGACAAGCCCCAAGGCGCGGCGCCACGGTGGCCTTAAAAAAACACTGCCCAGCGAATGTGAGCATGCTGCCGGCCTCGCAGCTATGAGGCGCCGGGCGCCGTCAAGACGGAGCAGGTGCTGAGAAGGTAGACCCACGTGTGTGCAGGGGCCAGCCAGCGGCGGCGACGCGCGCGCGGCACCGGGTCGGCGGCGCACGGCGCAGAGCCGCAAGGCGGTGACGTGCATCGGTGCCGGCTCCCCCAGCATGGTACGAAGGACCGCTAGGGCCGGCACTACAAAAAGTGCGCTGCGGCGCACGCGGTCTTGGCCCTGGGCCCAGGCAGCACAAGAGCTGGGGCGGTGTTGATGGCACCCATGCAGCCAAGCACCAGGTGAGGAAGTGGCGGGTGGGCGGCCTGCGAGCACACACATCAATGCCAGGATCGCCCGGTGCTGCCGCGCAGCCCGCCGAGGGGCCTCCTGAGGAATCAAGGGTGGAGCCGCAGCCGCCGCCCAGCGCGGCGCCAAGGCGCGGCTTTGGCGGCGCCTGGGCCTTGTGACCCCTGGCCGCATCTTGCACGGCGCGCCCCGCCAGAATGGTCGCAAATAATGATTAAGAACCCCCGGCGTCATCGATTGCGCGCATCGGGGCGCCACTCATCGCTCAGCGGGCGTCGTCGCGGAAGAGCTGCGGCGCCGACGTCAGCGCCTCCTCGACCAGCTGCACGCAGATCTTCTCGTCGGCGGGGAACGGCCAGCAGCTGCTGATGAACTGCAGGGCACACGGCGCGGCGGGCGGCGGGCAGGTGAACAGGCAGGTGGCAGCGTTCATCAGGTGGGGGCCGAAGTGGCGGCTGGGTGGGCTGCACCAGGACGGAATGCGCGGGGGCCAAGGCCAGCGGTGCTGCGGGGGAGTCGCTCGCTGCAGCAGACGCACGGGGCTCTGCCCTGCTTGAGGCCCGCCCGCACGCACAAGCAGTCAGGCTTCCCCACGGCCAAGACGCACTGCCGCAGCCAGCCTTGGCCATCGACGCGCCTGCCCGCACACTTGCACTCAAACATCCCCAGTCGGTCACACGCGCGCACCCACCCACCCAGCAGCCACCCTGCTCGCACACGCGTCTGCCCAAAAACCCTCACCCTGGCCCACTGGGGCAGCGAGAACACCGCGGGCAGCGCCAGCCACATCATGACGAGTGTCGCCCACTCTGCGCCGCTATTGGCCTCCAGCGCCGCGCAAATTTCTTCCTGGTTGCCCCCGCCCACGCCGCCGCCCGCCGCCGCGCCGGCCCCGGGGGCCGCGAGCCGCTGCAGGCGG